AAAATTTAATAATGTATTATTTACATTTCATATATCTAAGTATAAATGCTGACCTCTTAAAACAGTGTCTCCTGAGGCTTATGATGCTTGTAAAAGTAAAATATGTAATATAAAGGATAAGGGGGAAATATATAGAGTTACCATTACAGGATTTTTGCACTGTTTACAAAGAGATGCAAGTCCCTAAGGGTAGGTAGAGACTTAACTTTAAGTAGACTGTGACCAGTAAGGGTCTTGTCACCCTAGAAGAACTCCCAAAAGAATGACACAAAACAGTATTATGTAAAAGGTCATAGATGAGAAGACACAGAATACTGACAATTATCCGATTAATCCAAAGAAATGCAGGAAAAGGGAAATAATGCAATAAAAAACAGAGGCAAATAGGAAACAAAAAGCAAGACTGTTGATTTAACCCAAGTACATCAGCAAGAAATTACCTTTCCTTGCCCGATTAACTATATCATCAAGTCTGTCAATAATTTTGCATTAAAATGCCGAAACAAAATGATAGCTTAAATAAATAGACTAAACAACCCAAAATATGTAAAAGCAGTGGTTACCAGACCAAAAAGCATGTTTACTTTTTAGTTAGATTTTAAAAATAATGGCAAAAGGGCCGGGGAGATGGCTCAGTAGAGTAAGCGCTTCTCTGGCAAGCGCAAGGGCCTGAGCTCCATTCCCTGTTCTGCCAAAAAAAAAGGCAAAAAAAGATACAAAGTAAAAGAATGGAAAAAGACACAGTACATCGTAAAACCTACACAGTCTGAACTGCTTAGGGAGACCCTGTATCAAATAAATAAATATTAAAAAGAAAAGAAAGCTAACATCATGTTAATATCAAACAAATTAGTTTTTAAGAAAACATACTATGAGATATTACAGAGACATTTCATAAAAAGTCAACTCAACTGAAAAATATAATAACCCTAAATCTATAAAGCAAAAAATAGACATACAGTAACTGCTAAAAGAAATACAGTAATTTTCAATCAGAGTTAGATTTAACTCTTGGTAATTTACAGAAACAAGTGTGGAAAAAATAGGATAGATATAACATATTTTAATATCTTTACTCAATTATATATAAATAAATATATAATAGTGATACATTGCCAACACTGCAAAATTTCTAAAGTTACACAAGCTAATGTTGTCTTTACACTAAATGCACAAGAAATATTTTCTTTTCATGTAGTTGGTACAGGGTCTTACACAGCTCAGACTCATAGTAATCCTCCTGTCTCAGCCTCCCCAACGCTGGGATTACAGGTGTGCACCACCACACTCAGACTCTGTGGTGCTAGGGCACCAAGGGGCACAGCTGGTGCACCATGTGGTGCTGGACTATCTTTTGATAAACAGTCAAGAATTTTTTTCTTCACCTTTCAATTGGCACATAATACAGAATTTTGAACTGGATTTCTGATTTAACAAAGCTAATTAGAAAGATCTTGGAGGATTGAAACTAGGTTGAATCATCACAGTTTTTTTTTCTGTATTTACCTATAATGAAATATTTTGCATGTAAAGCATATATTTAGAAACATGCTTAAAATTTCTGTTTCATGAATAACAAATCCCTTGTTTTTCTATTGTATAGAAGGGAAGTACTCATAGTTTGGCATCTTTTTTCTACTTGTCATATAGGTAAGCTGTTTTAGATACTAGACCATAGAAATTTAGTCCTCAGCTCTTAAAATATTTTCTAATCAAAAACTAAGTATTTGTCATCTGTTCATTTGACCAATTTTATTAAAAATATTCTATAGCTATTTTTAAATAATAAAGTGAGAGGTAGGGGCCGAGGAGATAGCCCAGCAGTCTAAGCACCTGTCTGGCAAGTGGAAGGACCCAAATTTGATCCCCGGTACCACATGTCACGCCAGCCCTGGAACACTGGGCATGGTGGTACATGCCTGTAATCCCTGCGCTGGGAAGGCTGGGACAGGATCACTATGAGTCCGAGCTGCATAGTGAGACCCTGTATCCAATGAATACATAAATTAAAAAAAATTTAAAAGAGAGGTTAAAAAAAAAAAAAGACAAGTGAGAGGTAGCAAAATGATATATATAGAATGTTGGAAAGTAATACGTTTTTAATTTTTAAAATTTGTGTTAGAACATATGTGTGGCACATGATGATTACACTAACCATGGGGAGTTGGTACATGTATGTAATGCATCCTAATATATTTTCTTCTAGGCAGAATTTCTAGATGCTGCTGCTGGCGTTCATGTGCGCTTCAGATTTGGGGGAGTAAGTATGTCTGAGTGCTTAGCAGATTTAAAGCACATTTCATTAAACCTTTAAATGAAATGTAAAGGTTATGATTTTTTAAAAATGTAAGCTGGTTTTGCATTTGCATTATAGCAATCTTTTGCAATTTTCCACCTACAGGCTAAATTTCCACCTGACATATATTATAAAGTTTTTACTCACAGACATATTGAGGATTTGTGTGCCAACAGCCCTCGTGATTACACAAGGCTCCCAGCGAAACGCGCATCTCATAACAAGGACGACCATCTTCAGGAAGAGGACCACAGTGGCTGGTATCGTCGAGTAGAAAACAACGGCTGGCGGCCTGTGTCTGATAGGGTCAGAGGAAAACGAGGGATTTTAAGTTGTGTATATGTAGAAACTCATTTGTATTTTTGAAAATTAATTTTAAATTGTTTTAAAATAAGAACTGCTAGTATGCACCTGTAATTCCTTAGCACTCTGTGAAGTCAGGAGGATCATAAGTTCGAGCCCAACCTGGGAAACTTGGCAACTCGGAGAGACTCTGTCACAAAATAAAAAGTAAAAAAAGGCCCACTGTTCAATGCCCAGTACCAAAAGTAATAATAGTAACAACTAGTGATTTAATTGACAAAATTTGCTTAACAACTCTGGATTTTCTAATAATTCTAGGAACAGCATTTTATCTTTTTTTTCTGCCCTACATTTCTTTTTTCAGTAGTCATCTTTGAAACTGGGCCATCTTTAGAGACTCTCTGGTGTTTGGCTAATCATATATCAGCATACAGATTATAGGATATAGTATGCTTATATACTTAATATAACATATGAAAATAAGGTGTGAAGTCATTCAGCGAACTTTATTATGTATTAGTTATGTGTCAGGCATTGTTCCAGATGCCAGGGGCACAATGATAAAAGAGACATAGTCATGTCCCTTAAATAGTTTGTATTTAATTAGAGAGATAGTTAAGTAAAGAGAATAGTACCACATAGTAAAGGTAAGTGATTTAATAAAGGCAGATATACAGTGTTGGCAGGCAGTAGCAAGCTCTCACACTTGTTATCTAGCACACATGTGCTTGGCGAGAGATGATGAATTGGAAGAAGGAAAACAGGCAACCAGTTAGGAGACCAGGCCCTAGAAGACACTGATTCTCAGGACATAAGAGAGGGATTACTTCTGTGTTCCTGATGGATGCCTATACAAATATGTCTATTTGTTTATTCGTTCACCAAGTACTGTCTCATTCTGTAAGGACTTTGTCACTTTCTGCAGTGTGTGCTTCTGAAAACCCAATTTATTTCTCAACTATGTCTTAATCAGGAATACCTTGGGGCCGGGGAGATAGCTCAGTAGAATAAGCACTTGCCTGGTAAGTGCAAGGGCCTGAGTTCTATCCCCAGTTCTACAAAAAAAAAAAAAAAAAGAAAGAAAAAAAGAAAGAAGAAATACCCTGAAAAGGTCCATCATCTTTTCTGCTTCTATCTTGCTATATTCCTATTGAGCAAATAGAGGTTTTTCTCTATGGACAGATCAGCCTTTTGTCATTGATATTTCATACTTTTTAATGTTCATTCTCTTAATAGTTTTGGATGCCAGCTGGCAGTGAAGTGGTAGAAGACAAAAAGGAAAGAGAATTCCATTTCTCTAAACTAAAGAGAAGGCAGGATTTGGAAAGAAAAAGAAAAGTTAGAAAAATAGAATGGATGAGACAAATGTAAGTAGATGAAATACTTAGACCTATTAAAGAACTTTAATGCTGAGGAGGTAGCTCAGTAGCATAAGCACCTGCCTGACAAGCACAAGATCCTGAGTTCGATCCCCAGTACCACCAAAAAAAAAAATAATAATAATATAAAGAACTTTAAAGTATCATAGAGAAAACATACTTGGAAAACGTATACTATTTTGTTCTAAGACTTATAAATCATAGTATTTGGCATAAAAACAGACATAAATCTATATGGAAAAAAATATAAAGTTCAGAAACAGGTCCACAAATATATTGTTAATTGAATCTTAGCAAAGGTGCCCAGGGAATTTATGTAATTGGAAAAAGATACTGTTTTCAACAAATTGGGTATTCAAATGCAGAAAAATGGATATGGCTCTTATGTCATATTAAAATCACAGTGGTACCTCCGCTAGTGGATAATTTGTTCTACAATTCTGGGAAAATGGCGGCATTTGGGTTTATCATGGAGCTCATGAAGGAAAGCAAGGCTTCTTGTCTGCACCCAAATCATTTATAAACAGAAGTGTTTGTGAACTGAGGCATAACTAACTCAAACGAGATCATAGATCTAGATAGAAAAGACAAGACCAGAAACATCTGAAAGTAACCAAAGGAGAATATTTTAGTGACCTTAATTCTAACTGTATTTCTTATATAGGACATAAAGTGCATGAAATATAAAAAAAAAAAATACATTGAGGTCCAGGCAGAGAGCTCAGAGGACTAAAGTGCCTGCTTCAGCAGATGCAGGGACCCAGATTCAATCCCCCGCGTGCTGTACTGGCCCTGCCCCTGGGGTGCGCTGAGAGGCGACTGCGACTGGGCCTGGTGACACACACATTATTCTAGCACGTGGGAGACTGAAAACAGGAGAATCACTACGAGTCTGATCTGTGCAATGAGACCCTGTAGACCCTGTGATAAATACATTAAGAAAAAAAAATACATTGAACCACACTTCAGGGGTTTTTTTTGTTTGTTTGTTTGGTTTTTTTGGTCTTTAATAACCTGTTACAAAAATAAAACTTTAAGTACAGAGAAACCTAAAAATATTTTAAAAGTGTATCTGACAAAAGTCTTAAATTTAGAACATACTTCTAAAATTGTCAAAAGTAATGATAAGACAATATAATTTTAACTGCTATGGGTCAACTCTGCATAGGAACCAGATCAGCCAGACAGAAATTTGAACAGAGCCTTTTATTACTGAGCTCAGGTCTGTCAACCACTTCTCTCACAGGAGAAGGCTGATCAGCCCCGAACGTAGGTAGCAGGGGGGTATTTATAACAGAAATCACATCCAGTTTGGTAAGCAAACTTGTTATCTAGTACAGAACAACAGAAACGGCATTCATTTGACACAGCTGCAAACTGTTCATAACTAAAAGGTCTTTCACAGCTTAGTGATAAGTGCATATTTTTACAAGGTACATCTTAAGCTGACTATGTTGCAGAAGATGGTTGGGGAGGGAGTTTGTGTTAGCTTGCTGCCTTGACAAGAAACAGTTATTTATTGTTGAACAGC